GGGAAATGGGGGTAGGGTTAGGGGAGTAGAAAAGTGAAGAGTGGACTGCTTCAGTAAAACTGCTAACCTTGAATTATGCAATTGGAAAAACAGCTCTTGCCAAAATACAATTCTAACGGAGTTCAGAGTACTGTCAGTGTTTGCCAAATACCCCAGCCAAAAGGATGTCTCGAAGAGGGGGAGGAGGGATCCGCTGCCATATGCCCAGCATTCACAGTATTCTGGTAGAACTGTGGAGTCCTTCAGGAGCAGAGGCGTGCGCATGGTCTCAGGTGCACCCTGAGCATTGGTACCACGATCCAGCACAAGACAGGAGCAGCAAGGTCAGAGGGGAGTAGGCAAATATATCAGAATGTCTTTATTTCTCAAACCTTCCAAGGTTTTGCTTCACATTTGTATAGTAGTGGGAGGAGTTCTGGCAAACATTATCAGGCTGTTCTACATATGTTTTGACTCTTCCTGGTTTATGTTTCTTCTATGAAAGAGACTGCAACCAAGTTCTTGTCATTTTTAGATCAATGTTTTGTTAAACTATGACAGCTATCCATGACAGACAGCCAAGTAACTTTTGCAGCTGACCACAAAACTGAGTCTGACTTGCGGTGCTTAGTCATTTTTTATATATTTTTTTTCTACATGACACATTCCATGTGTGCATGTGTTTTTCATTGTTCTTTTAAATATAATTAGAACATTGCTAGGAGCTGTGGTACAAATCAATCTTCTCCAGCAGATTACTTTCTTTGATTAATAAAGTTTTAGAAACTTCTCATCACATTGTGCCTATTGATGAAACCTCTCTGGTTATACTGTGAACAATTGGGCTATTGTGGGATTGATTGCTCTCTACAGTATTATCTTCTCTGGTTTGCCCATTATAATTTTAAATGATCCACATAACAGAGCTCTCACTGCCCCTAAGGAGAGACTCTCCTACAATCCAATGGAAATGACCATTAGGATAGTTTTTCCCAACCTCTGCCGAAGTTCTTCGCAGAGGAAAAAGATGTTTGTAAGATGCCTTTCAGCCTTCTGGGGCATGATCCAAAATTCAGAAATTTAGAAGAGAAGGAATCACTTCATCTTTAGCAAGAGGTCCCTATGTTTCTCCTCCTGCAAGAGCAGAAGCGTTCCTTCCCATTTGTTTCTCTGCTTTATGCAGTCTGATTTTTAGCAGGTCTCACAACAAGACTTTGCAGCGCTTCCCTGGGTCTGGACCAGCCTTGCCTGTTCTTCCTGGCAGTATTGGTTCTAGGCTGCAATTGATGCCACACGTGCATTGTGCATAGGATGAATAGCATTTTATACCTTTGGGGTGTGGGGCAAATCTGAAACGAAGGGATTATCACTCTGGTTATTTTCTTGTAGCTTTAAAAACCTGAAAGCATGTACAATTCCATTAGCTGAACTTTCTTCCCCATTTCTTTCTCTGCCCAGCAAGACAATTGGATGTAGAGCTTGATATAATGATAAAATAAGCTTAAGGCATAGTCCAGCGTAGTGTGCAGGAATGTGCCACTGCCTCCTGAATTGTAGTGCTGTATCACAACTACTTTATTAAAGTGTGCTGCTGAACCCAACATGCGTGTACTCCACCTGTTATCACTGGATGGTACCACAGCTTGCTACTGTTTACACAGCTAATCCAACACAGCGGAGTGGTGGCAGTTTTAAGAATGTGTAATTTGCTGTTGAATTAAGATAACGATGATGAATAGATCCTCCTTTTGTATAAGCTTGAAGCCATTGGGGATCTCTTGTCTGAAGTTCTTAAATAGGTTCTGTGAGAGGAGGCTGGGCTAGCAATGTCAGCAGGTTGCCAGTTTATTTGGGGTCAGGGAAGAAAAGATTTTTTTTTCCTTTGTTTCTTTGGAGCTTCCATAAATACTTTCTCCATCAACTGAAAGACTCTGTAGGAAAGGTATAGAGATGCTTCCATGAAACGAAAAGCAGTAAGTCATCAACTGAATGCTTTAAAGCAAAACAACGCAGGAATGCTGCTTGTCCCCTTTCGAATATTTTTGTAAGTGTAAAAGCATTTCTGTAGGTCAGGACTGGGGAAAATCAGCTGCGTGTGTTTAATGGGAAGAGCATAGGACAGGAAAGCGGAATGGTAGTTACATATAGTCAGGCTTTTGCATCCTGCCAGGGTGTCGCTGATCTCTTTCTGCTCTCCTAATGCTGTTGCAGAGGCTTAGGAAAGAGCAGGCCTTAGACTTATTCCTGCCTGAGTACTTTTTAAACATTTCTAAACATTAACACAGAAAAGTACAGCTGGCTGTTTTGACATCCTCTGTTTCAAGAGCAACGTCGTGCAGAAGTTCTTTTTAACTGCCACCTTATCGTTGCTGATTGAATTATATTGTCATTCTCTATGTTTAAGTAGCAGGGAGTAAATTGTCACCATGTTGAAAGGGTGGTCTCCCTGCTCACCCACGTTTCAGCTGGCCGGAGAGCCGCCTCCAAGCGCTGGGACTGAGCAGCGCAGCCCAGGAGCTCAGCACTCATCTGGCATTCCTTCGCAGCCCCTCTTCCTTTGATCATGCCTGCACTCTCTCACTTCATCTAATGTGGCTGTACCGCAAAATGCAAAACTTAGCCCAAGATGGATAGCTGCAGAGCATCTGTAGGCTTGTTAAGTCAAACTCTGATAAACGAGCCGTACCCGGTGTGTACCTTGCAGACAGCATGCCGGAGTATTCACTGACCTTAAGACTCAATCAGATCATGTCGGCAGAGTGTGGTTCTGAATGTAACTGCCTCCGACTTCAACAGCTGCGTTTACTGCATAAAGAAAAAGCTGTTAAGCCTGTGCCCTTTGCGCTCTCAGCTCTGTTTCTCTAAGAGGTTTATACATGATTCAAGAAAAGTCTGCAACAGAATAACTCCCCTCCCCCATAATACACCCAACAAGAGGAGATGTTATTTTATATTTTAGGGTGGTGGCAGCATTTTTAAATGATTTCTGACATAAAAATTTTTGAACTCTATCATTATGAAGTTGATGGTAAATAGGTTATTTTTGAGGAAGAACTATTGACTTGCATTATATAGCTGAGATCCGTTTGGAAGAACTACAAAGTCAACTTACTCCTGACTTTCTGTCTGCTGACAGGCTGCTCTGGAAATGAGAGCTGAGTTAAAACCGGTAGATCAAAGAGTTTGGTAAAGCTAAATGCCTGAATAGTTCAGGTGCTTATTTGAAGCTTCTCCAAGCTTCCTGGATCTGCTGTTCCTGGAAGTGTTAGAGAAACCCTCTTGTTTGTGATGATAGGCTGACTCTGCTGCATGAGCTTTTCCTGCAAAAACCAAGAGGATAACTCATCTTGCACCGTTTCAGTGGTGATGCGTCTGCTTATAGACAGAGCACCAAGGGTGTGAAAGGGATCCACAATGAAAATGAATGTGAGGAGAAGGAAAGTTAACCTCATGTTCCCTAAACTGTGCGAGTGTACGAAGTTGGCAGATTAGCCTCCTTACTAACTCTCACAAGAAAATCTTTGTGGAATGACTTAACATGAATTTGAACTGTTCTTTGAATTGCAGATGCAGAGACATCACATTGCAGGAAGCGTTTCTGTATTCGTATTGTTCTCTTTTCTGTTTTCTTCTATAATACAACCCAGTGACATTACTAGGCTACATAGAATAGTTGTAAGTCTCCGGTTGCCATGTGAAATCTGAAAGTTTTTTTAGTTTGTTGATCTTTTGCAGTCATCAGGAGTGGAACAGAGCAACAAAACAGCAATCTTTCAGGAAGAAGCTCAAAAGAATTTTTTCGACTGGAGCCACTTTATTATCATTCCGTATCATGTCATTTTCTTAGCTTTGCAAAAGGCACAGTGCCTAACGTTTTGAAATGTTAGTATTGCTTTCCTGAAAGATTTATTTTTAAACATATGATTGTCAGGAAGATAGAACGTTTATGAGTAAAATTCATTGGGAAAACAAAAGCAGTTGGAAAGTGGAACACCTTTGTATTTGTAAAGTCGAACAATTCAGGGGGAAGCGAGGTGTTTTGAAGAGAACATTGGAATTGATGGCCCTGGCATGTTGTTCTGGCACTGTCTTTAGACACCGCTGCAGCCTGACAGATTAATTGGCAGCACGCACTAGGCTGTTGCAATCCAGGGTTCACAGATAGTTCTGACTAGATGAATGACAGACGGGGTGTTAGTAGGGTTGGGCAAACAGTCTGGACAAGAACACAAACTGCTGCCCAAGTATCATGCTTAATTCAGGCTGACCCTTTCCCAAGGCCTGAATAAGTTTGAACTACAGGGGTTGTTTTTTTCCCTATGGGCTGCTTCCTAAAATATTGCCTTTTAAAAAAGAAAAAGGGCAAAGTCACCCATATCTCCGCACTTTGATTGCAGGCTGGAAATAGAGTAAACCAATAAATACATTGCAAAAGAGCATGTATCATCTAAACTTCCAGTCCAGCTTTGCAGTCCCGGGGACATAGAGAGTTGAAGTATTCTTCAGATGTACAGCCAATTTTATCATGCCTAATTAAACCAATCTTTTCAACACTATGAAGTTTGCTCATCACTAGCTAGTAAGCATGCTTTAAAAAGGACTTCGTAAAGTCTGCAACCATATCCCTTCCAGAAAAAATATTAATATATATTCTTAAATACCTGGCTCAGTAAACTGTTGTGAATGAATTGTTATCCAGCTTCCCAATGAACTTTCTAAATTACCTATGAACTTTGCAGTTACAATATTGACCGATTTTCCTGATCCAAATCCCGTCATCTTGCCCATATAGGACAAAACAACACTGGAGACCCTGACTCAGCAACTGGCAGTAAAACAGAGTCTGCAACTATCCCTTCCAGAAAAAATATTAATATATATTCTTAAATACCTGGCTCAGTAAACTGTTGTGAATAATTGTTATCCAGCTTCCCAATGAACTTTCTAAATTACCTATGAACTTTGGAGTTACAATATTGACCGATTTTCCTGATCCAAATCCCGTCGTCTTGCCCATATAGGACAAAACAACACTGGAGACCCTGACTCAGCAACTGGCAGTAAAACAGAGTGAAGACGGGAAGTTTAGCCATGCAATGATGGATTTCAACATGAGTGGAGATTCTGACGGTCAGTACAAATGGCTTATCCTTATTTCCAGTTGTGAATGAATTGTTACCCAGCTTCCCAATGAACTTTCTAAATTACCTATGAACTTTGCAGTTACAATATTGACCGATTTTCCTGATCCAAATCCCGTCGTCTTGCCCATATAGGACAAAACAACACTGGAGACCCTGACTCAGCAACTGGCAGTAAAACAGAGTGAAGACGGGAAGTTTAGCCATGCAATGATGGATTTCAACATGAGTGGAGATTCTGACGGTCAGTACAAATGGCTTATCCTTATTTCCAGGTTTGTGTGTACATGTCAACGGGGTTTGGAGGAGAATCCAAGTGCTTTGGAGGCCTGTGAGGAGTAAGAGCGGTTAGCAATAAGTGGCTATGAAACAAGGCAGGAAAAAATGATTCATCGTGTGGCGTTTTAAGTCTGGAGGTGATTTTTAGCCTTCTCTTCTGTACACTGCGTTTCTCAAGACTGGACCAAGAATGTATTTCTGATGGTAAAAGGGAATAAAGGAGGCGAATAGATGTGGGATAAATGAGATCACACAGTGAGTCCATGAATTATAGACCTGATCATCCATAGGTGACGCACGCTCTGCATCTGTAGGAACTTCGATGAAGCAAGCGTAATGTTAATTTCTTTCTCTGCTATTGCTTATGTTGTTATGGAGAGGTAAGCACAAAAACAGGCAGATGTGTAAATGTTCATTTGCTAGTTAGAGAATTGCTTAAAAAGAAGTGCCTGATGTTGCCATATATCACCCCCTTCTCATCACAAAAAAGGTAAAAGATAGGTAACATAATATGACCAGCATTTGGTAAGCAAGAAAGGAAGAAAGTAAAAAGAAAATCTACATTGATAAGTGTTGGGTTTACGTTATTAAGTAGTAAAAGATGGTTTAGAAAAGCTGTTTAATGCTTTGTGTTGAAAAAAACAATTGCAGTTCTTCATCAAGTCTATACTATGTGATACTGAATCAATAGAATAACTAAAAACTAGACAATATGCAATATATGGTATTTCCTACTGCTTCAAGTAAAAAGAAGACCCACCATTAACCTGTTGTGAACACTGACTCATTGGATGTGCAGCACCTGACATAGGTTACTGATGGCAGAGGAAGGTGCATAATGAAACACAAGCTGGGAATGTTTTTCTCTTTCTTTTTAGGAAGTGCGGGAGTTTCAGAGTCTAGAATTTATCGGGAATCCAGAGGGCGTGGTAGCAATGAGCCCCATATCAAGCGCCCAATGAATGCGTTCATGGTGTGGGCTAAAGATGAACGGAGGAAGATCCTTCAAGCCTTCCCTGACATGCACAACTCCAATATCAGCAAGATACTAGGTAAGAATGATAGAGCACTGTTCTTCCAGTAGCAAAACTCAAAAAACTTTTGACTGAATAGAGCTGAGCACCTGATGCAACAGAATTACTCTTTAGAACATCTATTTTGCTACTTAATGACTGCACCAAGGTCAACAGTGATACGAGTTTTCACCGTGCTGCCCAGTGTACGTTAACCATAACCTGAAATGTTCTTGTGTCTTTGTAGTTACTGAGACTGTGGTGGTGGTTTTGGTGTGAAAACATGGAACTGAATAGACAAAACCAGTTCATTTCATTAGGCTGTTGAACAAGCACAAAACAACTGCTATCGGTTATTTGCCCACATATTTCATCTAACTAGATTCTATGGGGTAGCACACCACAGTATTTGATTTGTGCCATAGCACTTTCTGTTCAAATCAATGGCCATAGGGAAAAGATCTTAAAATACATCCTTTTATTTTATACACTGATAGTTTTAAAGGATTTTTATTATGTTCCTGTTATATTAAATTTCCCTTTAGTACATGATCTCTATCACAAGCTGCTTTTATTCTAAATATTCTGAAAAGAATCCTGAAATCAAAATAAGAAACATCAGAACTAATTTCCATATCCTCTACTTTTCATATTCCAAGCAATATTTGTCATGAACATAATCTTCTGAATTTCATGTCATAGTCTTCCAACTTTTCACTACTTGCTCAAATTCCCAGGACCACATTCTGTCCTAAGTTACTCCTCTGTGACACGCTGAATGATACAGAGGTGAATAATGAGCATCTCTGAGGCCAATGAATTACTGTTCTGCAGAAAAAAAAATATCTGATACCAAAATGGAGTTGTTGCATTTTTACTGATAAAGGCTGTGTTACAGGACCTAAGCGTCCCTCAGGGCAGTGGGTAAAAGCTTAAGCAGGGAACATGTTTACCTGGGCTGCAGGTCTCATTGGTTTTGCAGACAACTCGAGAGATGTAGCACGAATGTAATGGCAGCATTAACCAGCTGTAGGGCTGGTAAATATGCTGAGTTTAGACTGGTCAGAGGTTTGAAGTTTAGCTCGATTAAAGTGGTGTTATGAAAAGTTAGCAGGAGGCAAGTGGAAATGAGACATAATTGGTCGGAGAGGCAGAATGTATTGGCCATGGATGGCAGTTGTGACGGTATTAACCCATGATTAAAAGGGTGGTACAAGATGATTAGATTAGTTACGGGAACAGGATTAGAAGGCTAAATTGGCTATGTTGATGGTAAAATAACCTTCTACTGGTTAAAAGGGATTATACTGGTCAGAGGTGTATGATGTGATTAGACTGAGGACAGGGTAGTAATAGGTTTGGTCTGTTTCTAAATTGAGAGTAGACCTGGTTAAACCTGTTTTTAAATAATCAGCTTCAGAAATCTACAAGATCATTCTGAATGGCCCTTTTCATATAGAAAGTACAAAGAGAGCTTGATGTTTTCCCTCTTAACTGATTGTTTTGGATAACAACCTCCGACAGCACGCTGCTAATTCATTCTGCTTAAAACAGGCGCTTGAGCTGGGCTGACATTTTACGCAGTCTCTGGGGTCCTGGTTGACATTTTAAAGGGCTTCTAAGCATTTTATAATACCCTAAAATCTGGTTTTAATAAGCCATTCTGCTGAAATTGTTAACATAAGGAATCACCTTTTACTATTTGGCGCTAGATCAGGGAGATATGGGGACATCTTTTTCTGATTAGATATACAGTAGTTGGAGTAAAATGTGCAAATTCATTACAGATCCTGTTGAGGTGACAGACAGTATAGCTGACTCCAAACTCTTTCTGTTTTGCTGCCAGATATGGGGAAAAGCAAGGTCTGAAGCAGTAAGAGATGATGTTTCTATTTCTTTCCAGCATCACATTTAATTTTTTTATTCCACCTATGCAATGGAGAGGGATGTCCTGACGTCTTCTTTCTTGACAGAAACGTTAGAAAGGTCTTCCCTCAATTGCAAAAGGCCAGTCTTTTGAAGTCAGCAGGGAGCTCTCTGTTAACTGAGGTAGGGTGAGCAGCTAGAAGCTTACAGTTCAGCCAGGTATTAGGGTCTCTTTATTAGAAAGCCACAATTCTTCCTTACCATTTTTTTAGCAGCACTGCTACACATTGAGGTCAGAGAGCTCGTTGTCATGGAGTAGCTTAGATGGAGTTGTTACCGATCGAGGGTCACTTTTATAGTAAAATGAGAGGAGGTGCCCTTCTCAGCACTAGAATTCTCTAGGGATTATGTTTGACACTGTGGTATTATGTTTTGAGCATAAAAATTAGATACATGGATTTGTCACTAAATTCATCTGTGCATACGTTTGTCATCCATCTGTTCATTGCAACTTAAACTTGTGGATAAAGATTTTTTTTTAGAAAATTGTTAAAAAAGTGCTAAAATGGGTCTGCTGGACCCTATCAATTTAATAATGCATTGTTCAGATATTTTTGTAAATATTTTAATTAATTTCACTGAGAAATCTACATAAAGAGATTAGGAAAAGATGAAGTTAGATACTACCTTCAGAAGTTCTCCCGTGGATGTGTAAGTGTGTGAATACAAACCTATACACATACCTATACATCATACAAGTGTTTGTGTATGTGAGGGTATTTTTTAAGCCTAAAATCAGCCTGATTCAGATACTCAGACTGAAAAATGTCAGTCCAGTGGACTAAAAGTTAGGCAGTATTACAAACAGCTGAAAATTCTTGTCAGAGAAACTTGGCTTAAAAACAGCGGTAAGCAGAGCTCCTAACCCCACCTAGTGCATACGCGTGTGCGCCCAAGCACAAGTGCCGGGGCACGCATGGGGGCATTTTTCTTCTGCCCTGGACTCAAACAGCTGGCCCTCTACAGCCGTCTTCACAGTCATCGTGTGGGCACAGCTCTAACTGCCCTAGCTCACTTTGGGGGTAGGAGCCATGTTTGGTGCTGCAAAGTCTTACAGTTTTCTCATTTATTTTCTAAGTACCTCAGCCACCAGATCAGGGAGAATTGTGCGAGAATCCTGCTTGTCAGTATGTATGCATCCAGGGAGGGAACGGGTTCTTGTTTTCATAGTCAGGGAGAAAAGCCTTGCATACTTGACCCGCTCAAAGCTTTCTAACACAGATGGTGAGCAGAAAGCTCACCCAAGAATGTAAATCTTCCCTTAAAAAGAAAGATTTTTCAAGATTCTTCAATCACACCTTGTTTGGGCTTGGGCTTGGCACTGTGCATAGGTACCCATGCCTGCCTGCGTGTGTTTATAGACACGTAAAACAATGGCAGATACAGCTATTACAAATATACTTTGTCTAAACACAAGGTATTTTTAACCAGTTTTAGTATGTTGATTGACGATACTCATTCATAGCTTAGCTTGCCTGTGGGTGCAAATTCATAGATCAGAGTTACATATTCTTCAAACTTTCAAAATTTCAGATTAAGACCAATCAGAGAGCTAGCTGGATTTTGTATATTGCTAAGAAAATAAGTGAAAATGATAAAACATAAAACCCAAGGGTTTATCATCAGAAAATGTGCCCTTTTTCAAAGTTTATTTTGACAGCATTGTTTGTTTAATTATTTATGATACTTCAAGACATACTAGTAAATTATATTTAGTATATTTTGTAAAAATGGTAAAGTCATAGTAAGAGGAGGTATCACTGCAGAAGGCAGCTATTAAAAATTTGCTAGGAAGAGAGGTGAGACTGCCAGGATTTTTGTTGTATTGAGTTTGCAGCTTAGGAAGGAAAAACATAACGAATGACATTTATGTATAAATATTGTATGTGTAACTGTATGTATAAATATTATGCATCAAAATTTCAGTTTTTATGGCCCTGATCCTGCAAAGACTTATGTGTTTGCCTAACTTCACCCACTATTTACAGATCTTTTCACATGAGGGGGTAGGAATCTGCCTGCCCAGATCTGACTGTAGGATTGCAGCAAGTGAGCTAGCACAGCAAAAGAGGAATTGTGCTGGGATAGAACATTTTCGTGGCAATTTTGCAACAACTGATTTTAATTTCTACCTTTCTGTCTGTCCATCTGTCTCAAAATATATCTGAGTTCCTACATTGCAGGTCCCCTCACAGCATGTAAAGCAAACGTCAAGATTTGTTTAAAGACTGAGGTTTTAAACTTTATTATTCACGAATAAAACCTGATTCATCAGCAGGCAATGGGGCTGGGGCTGTTTTTCTAAGCCGCTGGGACTACAGCAGGTCTGTGATTAGAGGACTCTAGATTTAGACTAACTTTTACGATTTTCTTCATATGCTAAAACGCCAGCATGCCAGTGTCTACGAGGTAGAATTTGAAAGTAGACTACATCTGGGCATCTTCCAGTAGAGCTCATACGCTTTACCCTGAATTCTTAACATCGTTCAACGCAGACCCTATCTATGTTTCCATCTTACGCAGCGTTAATAGGTGTTAAGTGGTTTGGAGTCTCCACATGTTTATCACTGTGTCATTTAGCCCAAAATCTAGGAGGTACTACGTGTGGAAAGTTGGTGTCACTTTCTCTAGTCATTCTCTTTGCCAGAAAAAGCTTGGAATAATTTCTCTGCAGCAGACAAAGCTGCTGACCAGGATTCTGGCCGCAGAGGTTTGCTGCCCTGTGTAGCACAGAGCCCTGCCACAGATCCCCGTGCACAGACACTACCTCTGTTTGACATATGAAGTGCCATGCAGGTGTTTTAGTCCAAATCCTAGAAACCGTCTAGTCATGCTAATGTGGTGCTGCGCCTAAGCTAATAACAATGTAATTAAACTGTTTCCCATTCCAGAACTTGCTGGAGGATCTCTGCATGTTACGTATTGTAAACATCATGAAAAATGATGGCTTTGACTCCAAAGTAATGTTTGCTAAGAAAGGAATGTCCGTTGCTCCTCTTCAGAACAAAGACATCATTATTTACGAATCGGTTATCTCTAGGTGTGAGGGCAGGCTGTAGCAGCCTGTTAGCCCTTCGCTCCAGAAGCCCAAACTGCAGCTTGGAATAAAGATTCAAAGAGCAATGGAGAAAATGGTGTCAATAACCAGAAGGGGCCTTTCTAGAGGGAACCAAACTGTTTTCTTTCCTGGGAAGGGATAACTGTGCTCTCTATATTGCGAGTCTTAGGGGCACGTTGAGCTAAGACCAGCCTGAGTAATAGCATGAGCTAAGTACGGTATGAGTAACCATAAAAAATGAAGAACAAGAGGAAGTCAAGTATGACATATGACATTATGAACCCATTAAATTGAGAAACTATTCAACCTTTTTTTCCAATGGGAAAATTGACTATTTTCCGATAAAGTTTTCCTTCTAGGCCACATGTTTCATAGCTTGGACCATTCCTGTTATTTGAAATGTATCTTACCCTCAAGCACTTCTGTAGTTCATGGAAAAATAAAATAGGATAACTGATTCAGAAATTTTACTTCCTGCTTCCATATTATGTCCTTTAAGAAATACTAGTTTATAAATTTCAGGAGGTATTTGAAAACAATTATAAAGTCTTCATTATTTCCCTAGCTCAAATATCCACACTAACATAGGCAGAGTGTCAGAAACAAGGCTGCCAGCAGTGAAGCCATAGTGTGGCTCCATGGAAAGGTGTGCCAGTATCCCAGTGCTCTTCCCTTCATGACACATACTAAATTCTTTACGTTGGAGCTGGCAGTGTTCACCAGGACTTGGTCTTGGAGTTAAAAACCCCACTGAGACTACGGGATAGTTTATAGCTTTTAGAGGCATTGCTTCAGGGTCTTTGCAGGCTCCTATACCCAGCAACATAGCATTTATGATCAGTTCATATTCTGCTTCTCACAAACCTGGAAGCTAGAAAGATACGGCATTTGTCATGAAAGACTAAGCTGTAGACATGTGCATATCCAGCATTTATGCCTTGATCCAGCCGTGGATCAAGGCATAGCGACTAGATCGCAGCACATGGGAGTGGTGCCTTGTCTAGAACGGGAGGTGAAAACAGGCCCATGACCAAAGGAAAGTGGGGGGAACGTAGCAGAGCAGACCCTGTGTATCTAAGGGGTCTTTGGCCATTCCACTAAAATACACTGTCTTGTTTTCTAAAACAAAGTGTCAGGGATTGCTCATTATCAGGATGATGGTTTTACTTCCCACCTGAAAGACATTATAAAGTAGATAACTTTCAGTAAAATACTGAGTCCAAACTTCCAGTATCATCTCTCTCTGCCTCTTGGCCATACCCAAGAGGTTTACCAATCAAATACAAACAAGACCTGACCCCTGTCTAGAAGCTCTGACAGATTCCCAGCCCAAAGCAATATGACCGTAGGTATCTTGTTCTGGGTGACCTACTTGTTTCTCTGCCTTTCAGTGTTTGTGGGTGAGTAGAATCTCATTTCTCATGCCTTTTTTTTTTTGTGACAGGATCTCGCTGGAAAGCTATGACAAACCTAGAGAAGCAGCCATACTATGAGGAGCAGGCCCGACTCAGCAAACAGCACCTGGAGAAATACCCAGACTACAAATACAAGCCAAGGCCGAAGCGTACCTGCCTTGTAGATGGCAAAAAATTACGCATTGGCGAGTACAAGGCTATCATGCGCAACAGACGCCAGGAGATGAGGCAGTATTTTAATGTTGGGTATGGGACCTTTAAAAACTACTGCTCGTTTCAGCAAAAAAAAATTTCAGGGAGAATTCTTAATTCAGTGTGGTAAATATTATATTTTATTGGCAAGAACATTATATATTGCTAACAGAATATGAAGCTTATACTTTAAAACACTTTCTATGTGTTCCAGGAGGAAGTTAGGCAGTTAGGGATTTTTTTGTTGGCTCTGCTATATACTCATCTTACGGCTTCGGCCAACTGTCTCATTTCCACTCTGATCGTGCAAAAGAAAAAAAGAAAAGCTTAAGATTTTCCAATGAAACGTAAGTCTTCTAATAAAGCCTTATAAGTATTACTTTATTTTGAGGCCTCAGAGACTATATCTGAATGAATCTATGGTAGTGCCTCTTGATCCAAAAGCCAAAAATACAAGTTTGCATTCAGTATGATCTGTGGCAAGTGGTCTGCAAAAGGACTGCTGAACATACTGAACTTGAGCTGGAATATGGACTTGACTCAGTTAATTCATACCAGGCGTGAAGTTGTCTGCATTGTTCATCGTGAGGGCATTTGTCATACTAGGGAGTGTCTTCCAGTACAGTAAGCTAAATGCTTTGTGTTGAGCATAAATTTCAAGAAGACTGGTTCTGATAAACAGCTAATAGATCAGCTTGATATGGTTAGATTAAAATCTGCCTAGAAAACTAGCATGTATTTTCCTTCTGCAAAGACTCCTTGGTTTTGGTTGCAGCAGATCAAAAGAATCGGAAGTAATCAAATATTCTGCAGTATTTCTGTATTCACTTCAGAAAATTAAAAGCTACATGGTGGTCTTAAAAAAAGCAAAACCAGCAACAAGAACGACCCTCAAATAATGGAATTTGTGTTCTGTTTCGTCTGAAATTGGAATCATTTTAATATTAACTGAGTTGCGCATCTCTCTAGTTAACGGCTAGAAGTAGCAATAAAGGAGAGGATATCTGTCCAGCAACTGTTAAGTGTCATCAGACTGTGTTTTAAACAGCTACAGTGTGCATTGTTATAATAAGCCGCTCAGCAGAGAAATTTGAGCTGCTTAACCCTGTGGCGCTGGCAGGTCCAGTGATCCCAATGGTAAGCAGTGAAACAAACACAGGGAAGTCAGCCAACATTTGGCATCAAGAGATTAAAAAAAGAGGAGGGGGGCCTTCTGGAAAAAGAATAGGTGGCAACAGAGCCCCCAAAACACTGCTTATCTGGTTAACACGCATGCTTCATCATGGGAAAAAAAAATAACCTTGTAACATTCTGCATATTATTTAGCTTTCCAAACAAGGCTGACATTGAAATCAAGACATTTCAGGAGATGATTTGCACTGGGACATTAGAGCACAGAACCTGGGGTGAAATCTTTATAGAAGTTACTGACAAAGTGGCCGATGACTGCAGTGGGGTCAGTGTTTGATGCTGGCGGTCACGGCACGACAGTTGCATTCCTGGTTTTAGTTGCCCATCTGCTGCATCACCCAGTACAGGTCATTTAGGGCTAAACTTCTAGACACCAGTCCAGCTCCTGCCTGGGCACCAAAAGAAGTGATTGGGTTTACAAGAGTTGTGGCTGTGCCAGCTGCTGGGACATGCTGAAAGCCTGTCTGAAGGCATCACGATGGGAAGGACTGGGCATTCTTTGCAACTCTTGTACTTAATTCTTCTATGTCTCAGTGTCCTCATCTGTAATGGTGGTAGGGTAAGCTCACCTCACTGTACTGCTGAGAGCCCTAATACATTAGTATCTGAGGACTGCTTTGAGATCCTCTGGAGTGGACATCCTCTAGAAGTGGAAAAATACTATTCTTAAATTATTTAATATTTGAAAAGCACTCTGAAAAGCACCATTTAAGTGCAAAGTGTCCCTATTGTTAAATATTAAAAGCAATTTAAGTGTGCTGAATCTTGTTACAGAAATGCTGACTCCAGAAAACAAAGCCTTCCTATTGAATTAAGAATAAAATGCAAATTAGATCCGCTCCCTACTTCAAGAGCTATATCTTCAGCTGACACAACTTCTACTTGTTTCAGAAACACGAAATAAGGACTGTACGGAGGGAGGCCTCACTCAAATGGCAGGCAGGAAGTATCTGAAAATGCAGCAAGCAATTCCAAACAAATGTAAAGCTGTTTGGCAGAGGAAAGTCTTTCAGGATCACTGTACTGTGCAAGGCTTACTGTACAGCCAGGGCACAGGCAGGCAGGGGAACAGGGGAGGGTTTCATTCTTAATTAAGAATGTTCATCTCAAGAGACTCTGCCCTGTCTCCTGTGGCAAGGCTTTTCAGTGCAGATGGACACACCGCTGATGACATTACAATGTGCAGCATGTACTGAAGAGTATTACTGCAATGGAATTACTTCATGCAGCAAGGAAACAAAAGGAGCATGAATTTTAAACCTCTAGGCTTGTTGGGACCCTGAAGCTTCTCAGGGAAACAAACACTGGTATAACACAGCTAGTGTTCTTGATGCAAAGGGAATTTCTATGGCCTGGAATAATTCTTCTTTCATTACTGCAGACAGGTTTCCAAGGCTTAGACGCCGTATAAAGGCATCCTGTAGAGGATTTTCTCAAATGCTCATGTTGCTTGCTTGCTTTTTATTTATTTTTAAATAATGCATGCTTCTGTTTTAAGTCTGCCTTTTCCCAATTTTATCCACCTTCCTTCAAAGGTTCTGCTTTTCACAAGTGCCGCTCACTGCGGAAACTATCACCTTCCAGTGGGAGGCCCTTAGTGATCATCCTATAAACCCATGTTGGCCCCAGAAGGCCCACTGTTCCTCTCCCTAATAATGGCCAGTTCTCTGAGTGAATGTGGAGTAAACATTGCCTCTTTGGAGAGACCTGCCTTGCTTTCTTCTCATCCACTGGTACTTTCCTACAGCACCTCCCCATTCCTCTGCAAACTACCTCTCCGTCACTGTGTCTCTCCTCTTGGCAATGTGTTACTTTTATGTCTAGTCCTGCCAGCAGCTTGGATTATTTAAAAGGAAGATTTTCAAAATACATGTTTTTTAAGTTGGACCGCAATTGAAAGGATGTTTATTTTTGGCTGGCAGCTCATGGGACACCCAGTTTACCCAGTAAAGAAGTTTGCATCACAAGCAAGCAAGCTGAAGCTGTGTAGTTCAGGTACAGCTACAGATGTTTACAGAGATTGGGTTTTCTTATCCAGTGAGGTTGGTTTGGGCTTGATGTTCATTTCAAGAGCATCAGTTGGTGAGTCTGGGATATTGATACAAGGGTTGTCTTGCGTGGGCCATCCAGGAGCTTCCTCTGCATGCCCAAGAGCATATGCTATGGGCTTGCAAAGTGCTGTTGTACTTGCCCTCCTTTTACTCCTTCCAGTATTCAAACGTCCTTTTACTTTTTCTCCACGGCAGGCAACAAGCACAGATTCCCATTGCCACCGCGGGCGTAGTTTACCCAGGAGCCATTGCCATGGCAGGAATGCCTTCCCCACATCTGCCCTCTGAGCACTCGAGCGTGTCCAGCAGCCCGGAGCCCGGGATGCCCGTCATCCAGAGCACTTACGGCATCAAAGGCGAGGAGCCTCATATCAAGGAAGAGATGCAGACCGATGACGTCAATGGAGAAATCTACGATGAATACGATGAGGAAGAGGATGACCCCGATGCGGACTATGGCAGTGACAGTGAAAATCACATTGCGGGGCAAGCCAACTGATCAGGGTCCAAATATCTCGTGACCTACAGGACTTCGAGGAGAAAAGTAAAAATAAATAAAGCCCCATCTGGTTTATCCTTGCCAGTGGCCAAGCACATTAACTTTCTCATACACTGACTGTTACTTTAACTGTTAGTCTTAACTAGTTGGGACATCAGCTGACTAATAGACATCAGCCTGCATCAGAAGAAAAAAGGCTCAGAAGAAAGGAAACAAAGACAACGATGACAACAACAACAGAATGATATAAGCTATGGGTAAAATAATGCCAGTAATTCAGCTGCTATACCCAAGCACTGAAGTCTTACCCGTCGACCTTTTATTATTATTATTTTTTTTTCAAATAAACTTTATGGCTGGGTGTTCTACAATGTTCTCTCAGGTACATGCCAACAAGTGGCTTGTGAATGTGTTTTGTTGTTTGCTACAGTTTAAAGAGAAATAATTTTTTTTTTTTTTGGTAATGCACCTGTCTCACTCAGGTACACAGTGCCAACAAGTGGCTTGTGAATGTGTTTTGTTGTTTTGTGCTACAGTTTAAAGAGAAATAATTTTTTTTTTTTTTGGTAATGCACCTGACAGGAAAGAAAAAAGATAAAATTCCTTTGACCCCCTCTGTCTCCTCCTCCTCCTCCTCCTCCTCCCTGGCAAATCTGGGTCAGAAGTGTGTGTGCGTGTGTGTGTGCGTGTGTGCCTGTGCGCGTGGCTGGCAAGGAAGGAAGTGGGGAGTCTGTTTCTGTTAACCCCAACAAGCAATTATTTCCTTTCAAGAGAGGACTTCTCTTCATCAGTTGCACACCATACTGAGTCTTTGAGCAAGTGCCAAATTTGTACTAAAGCGCTGAACTAGTCCAATTTGCTTTTTTTTTTTTTGGTTGGTCTCTTCTTGCTTTGTTTTTCGTTTGCTTTTCTTTTGCTTCCTGCTCTGTCTTAAGTTAGGACAGTGTTGTATCTTAGACAATCCCTTGAAGAACGTGATATACCAGCAGCTGGTGAGATTAGACGTATATTTTTGGTTTTGGTTTTGCTTTTTAAAGGAAACTGTAGGTGCCGTTCTCAGGTGAAAAAAGAGAGAGAGAGACGTAAGAAATTTAGAGAAAAAATATTTTATGATCTTGGATTTCCATGTGTGCGTGTTTATGGTACTAATAAGAATAATATTGGACTATTGTGAGCAAAAAGCATGTTCCAGAATGAAGTCCCGCACCCTCCAAATGACTTGGTCTGTAAGGAGCCTTTGCTTTTAATTTACACTTCAAGTGGCAGCATATACAACATAAAAAAGGCTTGTCCAAAATGTGATTTGTTGAGCACTGGACGGGGCAACTGGAAATGTTACCTCCTCGCTGAGCGTGATTAGGTTACCGTGATGTCCAGTTTTAATGAACTTGTACCTTCAGGGTGGCTGAGTACTGATCTCTGATTCAAAAGGTGATTTTTTTTTAACTGACATTTTTTTCTCCTTTGCACTTGCAGAAATCCATTTTTATCAGTGGGATGTTTGTGTAGGAAGGAAGACTAATAGCTATGAAGAGATTTCCATATTCAAAGTGGGCATGTAAGAACCTGAACCTTTGCGGTGCCGAGTTTCCCTAGCTGCTGCCTCTCACAAGTGAAAAATTGTTCTCCTGGGCTAAAATATTTTCAGCGTTGTTCTAGAGCCCTTAGATATGTTGCTTGGGCAGTTTTGCCTTCCTTGGGCAACAGCGACCAGGTGAGGAAGGTGGATTTACACAAGCGTAATCCTGAGCAGTTAGCCTTTTGTATTTCCAATAAGGTAACTGAATGTTACGCTTTATTTCAGAAAAAAGAATGTAAATACAAGTGAATCGAAGAGTCTCTTTTCATCTCCTCACTCTGATCTTCCTGTAGAAGGAGAGGACCCAGGTTCGTGTAGCAAGACAGAAGTATTAGATCTAAACCAACCAGCCAACCAACCAAAAAGGTTACCTCTAATTTCAAACAGCAGCTATCCAGGAGCTCCTCTCCGGCCTGGGAAGCAAAGTCTTAGGACTGTACTGAGGCAAAAGTCTTCCTCTGAGTCGTTTTCTAACTGAGGATACCACCTTTATGTTCATGTTGCTCCCTGGTAAACTCCTACTCCTAGAGGGAGACTCATTGCTATCGTTATCACTTTTACCTCGTAAAAATAGCCCTGTGCGTCTTAGTGCCAGTGAGATCCCAGCCCAAGCATTCACCAGAACCCTGGTCTTCAGTACTCGGCAACATTGATTTTGCAAATGGTCCCTTAAACAGGCAAATTTAGCCCTTGGTGCAATCCGCCATTTAAGTCCAGGTGCAGGATGAAAGGAGGAGAGACTGGGAAGGAGGATGGGGGGGTGTCTGTCTTTGCCTCTTGAAATCCCACTTGAAGTGTAACTTGACCTCTGCAGACCTTGTGCAAAGCCAACAAGCAAATGTCATTGAAGACTTAGGACAATACTCCGACGAGCGGTTTGGACGTGTGATAGTTTTACCCTGCAACATCTGTTTTATTTTTCTCCTGTTTTTCCTTTTTTGATTTCCACCTCTGCCTCGAAAAATTCTTTTCTATTTTCTCTCTCTCAGAAGATTTGCTCTGAAGTTACGCTTGGAGTAGCTGATCATATCCTCCATGTCAGAGAGGGTTCCTTTTGTTTGTATTTTATGACTGTGTTGGGTTTTTTTTTCAGTTGAACTGAATCTTCTTGCTAGTGTTGTAATGGTAATTATAATAATAATAATAATAATGGTCAGCTGTTCCCAGATTAGTAAATTATGTATAATTTATTTTATCCCCCCCCTTTTTTAACTTTATTTTATTCTGTTCTAATTTGGCAGTAAAGCAAATGAAGCTGTTAGGCTATTTAAAATGGATATCCCTCCCCACCTTGCCTTTTTATATATATATAAATATATATATACATATGAAAACAAATCGCTTCTTCTTCTGCTCACACCATTCCTCTTTCTTTTATTTTAATTTTGGCCCCAGCCATGTCAACTTCTGATGTTTATTATGATGGAGTGAATTAATGGGAGTGTTGTTTTCAATCTTAATTAACTTCTGCTCTCTCATCACTCATTTTAGTTATTTAATTACACCAGTCATCTAGAGCCAATTTTTTGGAAGCACTCTGTTTGGATAAGAAGGAAAAAAAAAATAGACAATTGTTTTTATATCATTATTATGTACAATGTGAAAACAGATATTTGCTCCTTTTTTTTTTTAACTTTTAAATTTGTTCCCTGTCTTTGTGAACAAATTACTTCTGACTCTTGTGGGTTCACCTCACATTTGCTGGATGCTTGATTTCCACCACGTTATAGAGACTCTCTGCTTTAATTGTGTCACTTCGGGCTACCAGAATACTTTGTTTTAGCTCCAGGTGGGTGCCACTGCGGCAGGCGTGATTGGAGCGAGTCTTAGACGCGTGGGCTGGAAAGCCGGCCTCGGGGAAGTCAGTGGGGAAAGAGGCCCCTTGGCTTCAGCGGGACCGAATTTCAGCCCCGAACTACGGGCTGCGCTGCAGGAGACGCTCCTCCTGGAGGTAGCCCCGTCTCCGTGGGCAGGGTCGGTCCCGCGCTGGAGGAGCGCCTGTGCCGGGGCTGCAGGACCGAGCTCGGCTCTCGGCAGCGGACAGCGCAACAGAGCCCTTCTCCGGGAGTGCTCTGCTTTGCTCACCGCCTTGGCCTGGACTAGGGCTCAGGTGAACGGTAGTTTTGTTACCGTACACGTTTCCGTCTGAGAGACTACGCTAGAGCCTGGGGTTCGGTCAGGCTTTTCGAATGGGTAGCTTTAGCAGACTATCCACGTCCTGCATTTGGATGTTGAAACCGATGCAGCAATGTTAAAAAGAAAAAAGGCAAAAAAAAAAAAAAGGCAAAAAAAAAAAAAAAAAAAGGCTCTGGGGTCCCAAACCAGCAAAATACTTAACGCCTGTGCTAATGTTTTGTTGGGTCCAAGGATGAGCGCCCATATATCCTTCGGCAGTAGAAGACCAGATTTGAAAATGAGGCCCTGTTTGTCCCTCTTTAATTTCTTAGGAAAAAAACAAAACAAAGCAAAACATACATACATAAAAAGATCTTCTTGTCTTGTTTCTTTTTTTTCCTGGGTTCTGTGCCCTGGAGCATGTAGAAAAACCAGGTTAGAAGAGATTAGGATCGTATTAACCTAAAAGCGCATCGAGGCCCTAATGCCGAGGCGGGCTTCGTTCCCCTCCTCCCTGGGAACCTGGCGAGCGAGGATGGTCTTGGGGAGCTGCCGGGGGGGGGCGTGCAGGCCATCTCCTCCTAAATCGGGGGAGCCGCTTACGCCGTGAGTCTCGCGAGCTTACAAAAGAACAACACCAGCAGTGGGGAAAAGGGGAAAAGAAAGAAGAAAAAAAACTGAGGCACTTGCTTCTAAGCTCAATTAAATAACACAGAGTATATCCTTTTTCAATTTATTCATGCCTTATATTAGTAAAATAGGATTTTTAAGTGCATTTAACATCTTTATTTAACCGTTCCGCTATATTAATCAGGCCCCCAGAAAAGAACACTAGCTATTATTATAGCATTTAATTAGTTTTGTAACCAAATCCTCTTATTACAAATGCATATGGAAGAAAGTCTTTCTTCGAAGACATTATTTCAAAGATTTGGTTACTGCAGTAGACTCTCTCTTTAATTAAATCATTTTTTAGAAAGTAAATTGTCTTTAACCTTTTTACAGCACATTTTCAGAGCTTTTTCTTTTTAATCCAAAGAGATGAGCTGTTATTGTCCCCGAAGAAGCCTCTGACATCACGTTCGTAACATCAAAAATAATTATACTCCGTGGAAACGTAGACCTTACTTAGCAAGAATTCATCTGCTAGAATGAATGGCAACTATATGGTATCTCGTACGTTTAAGGGCATGATGTATTCGATAGGAAGTATTTTTGTCTGCCCACTTCTCGATAGAATCATACCTTCAATTTTGCAAAGAACTGTGTGTAATTCACTAGATGTGGATTCAAGTGTATCCTCAATTCACAGGGCATGGGCTGGCTGTTTAGCTTGGTTTATATTTACATTTTTTCAACTTTATCTTAACTTGTCAGTTTCCCAGACTGAAGAACATGTCAAGTTCGTTTTTTCTACTGACTGATTTCTCTACTCCCCAGTGTTTTTGTCACTGGTTTGCTGAAACAGTATTTATATAGCTCCATTGGCTCTAAAGCTCTTACTCCTTCTAACGTTTTGGATTTTACAAGTGAAATGAAAATAGAAAAGAAATAGAGACAATCAAATGCCTGGAGCTTAAAACAAAGTATGTGCAACCTACCATCTCACTTGAAAATTAATAAAAGAAATAATTATGTAAATATAACATAGAGTTATAGATTTATATTTTGTTCATA